CCCCTCGCGATCCCTTATAAAAAACGTGGTGCGGCGCGCATCGCCATGCGAAGCTAATTCCTAGACTCGCGCGATCCTTAAGTAAAACATGCGACGCGGGTTACGTCCCGCGAGTTCCTCGCCCCTCGCGATTCTCGATTAAAGATGCGGCGCCGGGCGCGCCCCGCCCGCGCGGCTGAGCACTCCCCAGTCCCCGCCTCTGGGGAAGTGAACCCTGAAGCCTTGCGATCATCAATTAGAAATGCGGCCCGCGCCACATATTGAGTTGAGGGTCGCGCGAATTTAGGGGTTCGCTTCGCGCGGCGATGTGCACCGCACCACGTTTTTAATGGATGATCGCGAGTGATTTAGGGTTCACTTCCCCAGAGGCGGGAAGTGGTGAGTACTGAGCCGCGCGGGTGGAATGTGCCCCGCGCCACATGTTTTATTTAATCGCTTCGCTCATTCCGCCGGCCCGTATTGTGCCATCGCAGGCGTTTGCTTGCGCGTTCGCGGCCTCTTGGAGCCTCGGTGGGGCCGTTTGGGGCCTCTTGGCGCTTCTTTTTATGCCTCTTGGAGAACTCGGGAGGCCTCCAGGGGGCCTCCTGAGCTCTCGTGACGGTCTCTTGGGGGGCTTTCGGCGGGCTCTTGGCGGTATTTGTTGGTCCTCTTGGGGCCTGGGGCCTGACGTTGTTGGTCCTCTTGGGGCCTCACGGGAGCTTATTGGGGCGTCTTGGGGGTGTCTTGGAGAGTCTCTTGGGGCCTCTTTCGGGGTCCTGGGCGCCTTCTGGGGCGGAGGGCTCGATTTTTCAGTTCTCGGTTCCCTTCTTGAGCCCCTCTTGGGCCCGTCTTGGGGCCTCTTGGTCCGCCTTGGGCAGCACTTGGGCCGTCTGGGGGGCGCTCTTGGGCCGCTCCGGGGCCGTCTTGGGAGCCTCGTGGGCCGTCTTGGAGCAGTCTTGAAGGCCTCTTGGGCCCTCTTGGAGCGTCCGGAAGCGAAAAGGCCAGGACGCAAAAAAACATCGAAAAAACCAATGAAATCACGATTTTGGCAACTTGGGGCCCTCTTCGGAGGCCTCTTGGAAGGCCCTTGGAGCGTCTTGGAGGCCTCTTGGGTTGTCTTGGGGCCATCTGGGGCGTCTTCGGGCGATCTTTGGCCGTCTCGGGCCTCTCTTGGACCGTCTAGAAAGCTTCTCGGGGCCCTCTTGGACCGATCTGGAGCCCTCTTGGACTCCGAAACAGAACTCCGGCATCTCTGGCCCGACCTTGCCGGGGACCTTGCAGGGGACTTGCCGGGACCTTGCCGGGGTACTTTTCGTCCGGGGACCTAGGGGCCGCCCCGCGCGCGCGAACTAGAAATACTGTTAACCAGGTACCGGAGATCTTAGCACGCCCTGGCCCGTGGGGCCGGCGAATGCGCCACATGTTTTATTTAGGATCGCGAGGGGCAAGGAATTCGCCCTCTTCGGCCGCGCGCGCAGGATGTGGCCCGCGCCGCATTTCTAATGGAGGATCGTGCGAGTTTAGGAATTAGCTTCGCCTGGCGATGTGCGCCGCACCATATTTTTAATTGATGATCGTGAGGAGTTTAGGAATTAGCCCCCCAGAAGAGAATTCCGAGGGGAGTTTTTGTTTAGGATTTGAATTAATATTGATAAAGAGTGTTTAGTGTCCGACAGCGCTGGGAGCAGCCCGCAGGCACGTTTGGCGAGCTCGCGATCGCCTGTGAGCACCTCTGGATGAGATCGCACACAGTTTCGAGCAGAGCTCGGGCGCCCTGCGGTTCTGCCACCGCGGGGACGTGGCCTCGGCTGCGCAGCGCCCGGAGCCCTCATGCCACCTGGCGTGTACGAGCAGCAGAGCATCGACGAGCATCTGTCGCCCAGGGACACCGGGACACCACACCCACCACCTGCCACGCCCTTCCCCCCAACCACATGCCCCTGCCTACCCACCCCTACCTACCCGTGAACACCTCAAGCACCTGGTGCAGCTGCATGACCTCGGCGTCACGAGCCCTGAACGATCGCAGCGAGCTTCATGGCGAGCGCCTCCGCCGCCACCCGCGCAGCACGGACCGCGCGGCGCCTGGCCAGCGGGGGGCGCCCGAATGCGTCGCCACGGCAAACCTCTCGGCCAGCCTCCCGAGCCATTGCCCACGAGCCCAAAGCCCTGGAACCACAATGGCTTGAGCCCCAATCGATACGGACCTCCCCCTCATCCTCCTCCTGCTTCTCCTCCTCTTCCTCCTCCTCCTTCTCCTCCTCTTCCACCACCTCCTCCTCCTCCGCCTCCTCCTCCTCCACCTCTTTCTCCTCCTCGTCTCGCCATGAAAATCGGGTGCTTCAGAGGGACTGGCTCCTGGAGGCGTTCCCCCCTTTCCCGGGCTCCCAGGGCCCTCCCTGGTCCACCTTGGCCGGCCAGGAAATCATTCGGGATGATAAGCTGGTCCTCCAAGTCCCTCACGCCCGCCCAAAGCCCAGTGAAGCTGGGGCTGGGGTGCGCCAGCGGACGAGGTCCAGGATCAGGGGGCTGTCCTCTCCTCCTTCTCCTCTTCCCTTTTTCCTTCTTCTCCCCCTCCTTCGCCCCCTCTCCCTGCTCCTCCTCCTCCTCCTCCTCCTCCTCCTCCTCCTCCTCCTCCTCCTCCTCTTCCTCCTCTTCCTCCACCTCCACCCTTTTTCTTCCTCCTCCTCCTCCTCCTCCTCCTCCTCCTCCTCCTCTTCTCTCCCTCCTCCTCCTCTTCCTCCTCCTCCTCCGCCTCCTCCTCCTCCTCCTCCTCCTCCTCCTATCCTCCTTCTCCTCCTCCTCCTCCTCCTCCTCCTCCTCCTCCTCCTCCTCCTCCTCCTCCTCCTCCTCCGTTCCTCCTCCTCTGTCCTCCTCCTCCTCCTCCTCCTCCTCCTCCTCCTCCTCCTCCTCCTCCTCCTCCTCCTCCTCCTGGTTCTCGCCTACGCGCCGCGCTCATTAAAGAACAAGTTGCAAGAGTTTTACGGATTGAGGGTGGTTCGTTTTCAGAATGTGGTTCTCGCGTTAGCGCCGCACACATTTGTTTTAATAGTTGCAAGAGTCGCACTGGTTCCGATGGCCAAGGTACCAAAAACGGTGTTTTGGAAGAGTTCAGGACTGAGGGTGCAACAGTTGCGTCGATTCGCGATGTTGACGTTCCATGAATGGTGGGCTGGCACGATTTTAAGATCGTCAAGACGCAACAATCAGCTTGATCCGTGGCGTTGGAGTCCCGAGAATGGTGTTCAGGGTCTTCAATCGGTTGTCTCCCAACGAGGCAGTTCCCTCAGTGGAAATGAACGCTTGTCGGGGCCTGTGAAGAGGGAGCTTGGAGGGAGGGTTCCTGCCAGCATCGTTGACGACTCTTGGGTTTACACTGGTCCTCCTCCCCCTCCCCCCCTCCTCCTCCTCCTCCTCCTCCTCCTCCTCCTCCTCCTCCTGCAACCAGTCAGCCAGCAGGACTCGGACGCCGTCAAGTTGGAGTTCTTCCAGGAAGGTTTCCAGGATTCAGGCTTGGAATTCCAAGGGCCCGAGCATATTCGCTTTGAAGGCAGTTTGTTCCTGGACGGCAGTTGTTTTCAGTCTAAGATCCGTGAATTGTCCAGAGCTGGCTGGGCTTTTGTGCTGTTGTCTGATCAGGGCCATCTCTTGGCCAGAGTGCTATGGCCTGCCTTTTCTCACTTGCCGCGGTCCTCTCAGGCTGGTGAGTTCACGGCACTGGCTGCTGCTGGTGTCAATTTAGATGGGCCAGCGACTCTTTTCTCGGATTGTGCGTCGGTTATTTCTGTGTGTTCCAGGGCGCCTCGGGACCGCCTGGGGGGGCATAGGGCCTACGCGGGCTCGGTCCTGGAAGCCTTCGCGGGTGCTGGCCCCCTCCTCCAGGGCCTGGTCAAAGTCGCCGCGCACAAAGCTGTAGATGAAGCAGGAGTTTCTGCTCAGGAGGCTTGGCGGAGGACAGGTAACTTTCATGCCGACCTCGCGGCTAAGCGGGGCGCAAGTGTCCATCCCCAAGCCAACCCTGTCGTCGTGTCTCGCGTCGAGCGTGAGATCAGGATTGCGAAGGCTGTCATCCTCTTGGCAGCCAAGCTCTTGCCGCGCTGGCCGCGGCTCGACTTATCTGGCGTTCAATTCATCAAGCCCCAGGCCCCACCAGCTCAGACGTCGACGACGCCCCACGAGTGGTGTTGGTCTGGGGAGTTTTGGCAGTGCAGCACGTGTCTGAGAGGCAAGCGAGGTCAGGCGCGCCCAGCGCCTGGCCACTGTGTAGTGCCTCCCCGCCTGTGCCCGAGCCTCCTTGAGCAGTTCAACCATCTTTGTGCGTTGTTGGACTGCACGGACGGCTCTTTCCTCTGTATCTGCCGTCGGTGCGGCTCTTACAGCACAGGCGGCCGCGTCTAGAAGCTGGGTGAACCCTGTTCCTGTAAGAAGACAGGGGCAGGACTTACGGCCTGGAACTATGTAATCCAAGGCCGACACCCACAGCTGATCAAGAGGGAGAAGAACGTACAGTTTTTGCCCTCTCCCTGGACTGTGCTGTGAGGAAAGGCGGTCCCCACTCGTTGGGGGTCAAGCAGAGGTCGAGCGTTAATCCTCCTCCTCCTCCTCCTCCTCCTCCTCCTCCTCCTCCTCCTCCTCCTCCTCCTCCTCCTCCTCCTCCTCCTCCCCCACCTCCCCCTCCTCCTCCCCCTCCCCCCCTCCTCCTCCTCCTCCTCCTCCTCCTCCTCCGCCTCCGCCTCCGCCTCCTGCTCCTCCGCCTCCTCGACGGCCCTCGGCGGAGGCTGGGCCGGCCGTGCAGGCCCGACGTCGGTCGAGACGGGCCGGGGCGGCGCGGCTCCGGCGCGGGCGGTGCGTTCGGGCCGGCAGCGGTGCGGGGGGGAGCTGCTGGCGCGGCGGCGGGGGGCCTGGCATCGCTCGGACGTGTGCATGTATTCCTCGGCGAGGGCCCTGGAGGAGCATCCTGGATCATCGAGCGAGCAAAAGCACGCACGAGGCGGAAAAATGCACCGGGAATGGGCGTCCGAGCGATGGCAAGGGGGCGCCCTCGAGGCCCAGAGGGGGGCACCGGCGCTCAAGGCCTCCAGCCTCGAAGCCTGCTGCTCGGTGTTCGGTCGTCGATCGGCACGGGGCCTCGGGCCCGGCCCCGTGGTCGATGGAGTCTCTCTAAGGAGGGAGCTCCTCATAGACCGCTGGCTCGACTGGCCCGTCGGCTTCCGCACGGAGGTCGTGAGCGTCTGTTCGTTGCTGCACGTTCTCCTCCTTCTCCTCCTCATCCGCTTCTTCTCATTTGCCTTGGCATTATCGAAGGCGCCGACGGCGAGTCACCGCCGCCCCCTGCCTTTCTAGAATCGCCCATATGGCAGAGCGTTGAGGCAAGAGCTCTGCCAAGCCATCGGACCATGTGTTCCCCAACCTGTTGTGGAAACCCTTCGGGGAACACTTGGGTGAGGATGGCGGGAAAGATCGGAAGGAGACGCAGGAGGAGGTGGAGGGAGGAGTAGGAGGAGGAGGGGGCATCTTGGGAGCCTCGAGCCTCTGGGGACACTCTGGGGGCCTCCTGGGAGCTTCCTGGGAGCCTCTTGGAGGCATCTTGGGGGCCTCCTTGGGCCTCTTGGGGATCTTTGGAGGCTTCTCGGGGGCCTCTGTGGCCGTCTTGGTGGGCTCCTGGCCCGTCTGACGCCGTCGGAAGCCGTCTTGGGGGCCTCTCTGGGCTGACTTGGGGCCCTCTTGGGGTGCTCCAGGGCTGTCTGTGAGGCCATCTTGCTTGGGCCGTCTTGGGGCGCTCTTGGGGCCGTCCTGGGGGCCTCTTGGGCCGTTCCGGGGCCATCCTGGAGGCCTCTTGGGCGATCTTGGGGCGATCTTTGGTGGCTTTTGGGCCGTCTCGGGCCGTCGGAAGGCCGACAAGAAGCAACTGCCAACATCTTTCACACATCTAACGGAAATCGTTGATTTTGGCCTCTTCGGGCCTTCCTGGAGGCCCTCTTGGAGGCCTCTTGGGCCGTCTTGGGCCATCTTGAAACCATCTTCGGCCGTCTTGGTGGGCTCCTGGCCCGTCGGAAGCCGTCTTGAGGGCCTCTCTGGGCTGACTTGGGGCCCTCTTGGGGTGCTCCAGGGCCGTCTTGGAGGCTTGCGCGGGCGTCTTAGAGGCCTCTTGGGCCGTCTTGGGACCCTTTTGGGGCCGTCTTTGGAGCCTCTTGGGCCTCCTGGGGCCATCTTGGAGGCCTCTTGCGCGATCTTGGGACGATTTGTTGGTGCTCTTGGGCCGTCTCGGGCCGTCGGAAGGCCGAAAAGAAGCAACTGCCCAAATCCTTCAATTATCACAGTGCGACCCCACCTAGGAGTTGGAGCCTCTAGGAAAGCAACATTAGTAGGAGCGGTAAACGCCGTCCTCCTCCTTCTCCTCATCGTCGTAGCTGTAGCTGTAGCGGTAGCTGTAGTAGTAGTAGTAGTAGTAGTAGTAGTAGTCGTCGTCGTCGTCGTCGTCGTCGTCGTCGTCGTCGTCGTCGTCGTCGTCGTCGTCGTCGTAGTAGT